AAAAAAGTAACAGAAAAGTAACAGAAAAGTTGGTCTACCCTATCCAAGTGGAGGGGAAAAAAAAAAAAGAAAGGCTTTTGTAATATTCCTTCCTCCACAACCTTATGAAAGTTCACGAGTGCTTCTTTTCCTTGGAATGTAAAATAGGAGTAAAATATGCGCAAAAAAAAAAAGTACACATTTAACGTAACCAATAGTCTTGAAACACACTTTTTGTAGTGTCATGAAAAATGAATACCCGTGATAGGTGATAAATACATCTCTCCATGTGGCACACAAACATGAAATGTCATTTGTCCGTTTCAACAATTTACAGTTTTTGTACATAGAAATTTTTTCTCCTTTTGTCAAAAATGGTTCTGGGAACATTATATCTTTTATAAACCAAAATTCCACCATAACTCTACATTGCCTCCATGGGAGGGTGTCATTGGAACTACTATATTTTTGCAAAAGAAAGCGTTACTTTCCTTTGTCTCAAAAAAAGAAAAAAACTTCTAAACATGAAGAGGAGAAAAAACACACTCCACATAAATATTTCGTCTTGCCATGCATGCATGCTTGTGTGTGTGTGTGTATATACGTGTATACGATGAACTGCAAGCTTTTTAAAAAAAATTATGGCCCATAAGTATAACGTGCATACTTTTGGTATACACTGTTGAGGCTTTAAATAAAGCAGTGCACGAATTCTGAACAGTCATGCGGAAAAAAAAAAAAAAAAAAAAAAAAAAAAACACCTTTCTCAAACGGGCTAGCCATATACAACCATTTTAACCCGTTGCGTTTTAAAATGATCTAAATTTTTTGCATGAACAAGTCATAATTTTTTTTCTTTTTTTAGACATATCATATTATTTCACAAAATATTGTTCTCATAACCTTTGCTAAAATTTAAATTAAAACTCTCCCCATTTGATGAGACATGGAGGAGTGAGTTTTATAATATAGCACATGTGTCTTTTAAAACATGCAGAGGATAGTGGTTTTTTCTCATTTGCTCTTTAGCATATTAGAAGAAACGTAGTTCCAATTCGACATTTGTATATATATATATATATATATATATATGTGTGTGTGTTTTTATATGAGACTGTGCATGCACGTCGAGTACGCACTCATGTATTGTACAGGCATAAAAATCATTCCATGCAAGTTTGATAATTTGTGAAAAAAAAAAAAGGACAGACACGAACGTTTATAAATAAAAATGTGAGTTTTTTTTTTTTTTTTTTTTTTTTTACTTTTACATATGTGGGGATACACGCCAAAACAAGGATAGGGTGCGAGAGAAAAAAAAAAAAAAAAATAATAATAAATAAATAATAAAAACGGAGATATAACATATGGTAAAGTGCAAAAGGTGGTATGAACATACTGCTTAAATATAATAACAATTATAGATACATGTACGGAACGGTTAACGGTTCAACCTGGTGGGTGGGTGAAACATATACACTCATGAAAGTATACTCGCGTATGTACATGAGTAAATATATATAGGATGACGTAGACACATTCAAAATTGGTGCGTCTCCAATATCTTAGCCAAAAAGAGACCCATTGAATGCAAAGTTCTTGGGGGAACAATCGTTGAATTCGATAAACACACGATCCGATTTTACTTTGATTGTGTTCACTAGAATTTTTGTAACTTTGTCTGCGAGTGCAGTGTTATTCGTCTTGTTAATTCCACTTATACTTGTAATCTTAACAAAACAGAACCCATTATCAGATCCACCAAATCGTAAATATTTCTGGTAGTCGTAGTTGCTCATAATGTATGACATAGGTTTACTCATCACCTCGGACACAGCTGTAGGGAGAGGGGTGGGGGTATGGCGTGCAAGCCGAAAAAAAAAAAAAAATAATTATAAAATGAAATAAAAATGAAAATAAAATGGAGAAAAATAGTACAAAGTCAAGAGGTATAAAAGTGATATAAAACCAAATTGGAGTTGTCTATGCGTATGTGTGTACTAAAGGGAATTGTTGGCATACAAAATATCAATCGTTCTCACAGAACAAGTGTTACTATATTCTCATAACTACCTTTAGTACACAAAGACAATTCTCATTTTTTAAATCATAGAAGATATTCATACGATTATGTAGTGTAGTGTAGTTTAGCACAATTATGCATACATCCCCATGTCTTTCTAGAGGTGTGTGTACCACATGTGCTTGCACCATTTTAACATTCAATGTAAAACACGAAAGAAAAGTAATAAGGGAAAATAAAATAATAGGAGGAAAGCAGGGTTAAGAAGTAACGTGATCACATTATCCTCCATATGCAGTTTATTTGAAGTACGGGCTTGTATACAGTTCTTTTTTTTTTTTTTTTATTATTTTTATTATTTTTTCCTTTCTTCCCTGCTTACAACATTCATTCTTACGTACCATTCTCTATTTGGGATAACGTTTTTTTTATGTCATCATCGGATGCATTAATATTTGTAACTACTTGACAGCACGGCATTTTCGTGGAACGGGTGAGAGTGTGAGAAAGTCAGTTGAAGGGCGATGGGTGGGATGGGGTTAATATTCGCTTGTTAGTAAAAAAGAAAAGGCGTACATAGATGTGTATACGAATAAATTTACACATAAGCATGCATATATACATGTTATATGTAACCTAAAAAAAAAATTTATCACACCTTTAAGAATTGCTATGCTGAGCTGTATGGCAATATCGCTTGTTTTTCAACTTCAAGAATGATAGAAAAAATACTGTTAAAAAAGTATTACAAAGTTTACGTGAGAATTATGATGTGAACACCTTGTACTTACCCTTATGAGGAGTTTTTACAAGTGTAATTTACAAAAAGAAAAAAGAAGATAAACAAAGCAGAAGGAAAAAAAAAAAAAAACCTTGTTCAAAATGCTAACCATATGTTGCAACAAGGGCATGCTTAGCTCTGTATCAGTTTTGCATGTAGTGGAGAAATTCTTGAGAAAAAAAAAGAAAAAAAAATGCACGTGACAAGGTGCATATATATATATATATACATACATACATATATGCATAATTTTGTTACGTTTCGGCAGAGGGCAAAAGGGAGGACAATATATGATCCTATCGTATGCACATGTACATATGTAATACATAAGCATGCATAAAAATATGTACACATACATGCATGCTTTCCAACTGTGTGATTTTTGATTAGGCCACTCGTGGGTGGGGAGTGTGCTATGGAGCAATAGTGCATGCAATGAGTACATTGAAAAAGTTCTTGTTCTTGTGCCTCGATGTATAATCGAAAAGCTGAATCTGAAAAATGTATCACTCGCAGTGTTTGAAAAGGGTTATCAACAGATATATGTTTGCATAGATCAAAAAAAGGGTTCCTTCCTATATATAATTTGTATGAAATGAGTTGTATATGTGTATACTATTATCAAAAGGGGTTATATATGTAACCATATCCAAAACAGTTAATGTACACAGTAAGAATATGAAAAAATAAAGGCAAAAAAGTATATTCATATGTAAAAATGGCACTAAAAATTTATTGAAGTTTGTATGTATGGTCTGAAATTAACTGAACAGTAATTATGTTTGATGAATGAATAAAAAGGGGAACAAAGCGGAGAAAAAAAGATTTATAATTTAAAAAAAAAAATAAATAAAATAAAAAAATAAAATAAAAAAATAAAATAAAAAAATAAAATAAAAAAATAAAATAAAAAAATAAAATAAAAAAAATAATATAGTAATAAAGTAGATATATGGTGATGAAGTAGCAATGAAATGGCATTGACGTAGAAGAATGCAGCATTAACATGTGACCATCATGAAATAAATAAATGTGACAAAATTGGACTAGATAAGCAGAAGGGAGGGGACAGAGAGGAGAAGGGGTTGGTGGGTTGGTGGGTAAACGAATAAAAAATATTAAACGAATCGATTGAGTGTAACTATATACAATTTCTTAATATCCCAACGTCTCGTTCTACCATGAACCAAACACAGATAATTGGAACTCATTACAAAAAAAGAGAACACATGCACGGACGCATGTAACTTGATGCATGCAGAAAGACATGAAAAGGAGACCATCATGCAATATCATATGCATTCGATTGAAATGGATGATACATGTTATCATAAGAATTATGCACATTGCTGTAATTGTGATATGGGCTCTTGGGTAAGAAGGCCTCAGCTGATTCACCATGTACGTGGTTGAAGCGGCTCTTGTATTGTTCATTAATATATAAACATATTTTTTCCTTAAATGAAACATAAAATTGGCTAATTATATTGGTGAAGGCAGAAAGGTAAATAGAAAAGCTAATCAATAATAGGAAAAGGAAAAATCCTTTTGATACATGGTTGTAACTGCTTGAGTCATCATCATCATCATCTTCTTCTTCTTCTTCTTCATCTTTAGAAGCACCAATAGTGGAAGCATTTTCAACGCCGTGTTCATTGTTTCCTTTCTGATATGAAGTAGGAGCTTCTCCACTTTGATCCCCTTTGCCATTGTGCAATATATCCAACGGATTCAATGCATTGAAAATGTTAGAACCTTCAGATGTAGAATAATCCATTTGTGATGTAAGAGTTTTAAAAAAACTGAAAGAATTTTCCTCAACATTGTTGATTTTTTGTTGAGGCGATTCTTTTTTCAAGACATGCCCTAAGTTGTTTTTTATAACATCCATGTCATTCAAATGCGTTCCTAGTTTATCATTTGGCAATTCGAATAAATTGTGGGAATCGTGTTTTTTTTTTTTTTTTTTCATCTTCATCTCCGGGTTCTGATTCTGATCCGGATCCTTCGTGTTATCCTCATTTCCAAGCAAATTTTCTGAAAAAAATGACCATTTCGAATCTGATTTGGGAGAATCATCGTTATCATTGTTAGTTAGATGTTTATTTTCCTCAGAGGCATATCTATCATGCAATGTAAAATCAGAAAATACAAAGGAGTTTGCTGCATCTAAGGTGTAGTTATTTTTTTCTAGGTGTTCCAATTTGTCTTTATAATTTTGTTTTTTATTTATTTTCACTACACCATCCTTTTGCACACATCCCATGCCTCCATTTAATCCATTGAGGTTAGAATTTTTACATTTCAAGATGCATTTTTCTAAATTTTTATAATCACCAATAGACAAAGATTTTTTATTATTATACTCATTGATATTACTGCTATCATTCGATGATGACCTGTTAAAGCAATTGCTTAGACAAGATTTAAATGCAATCAAGGGATGACAGTTAATATTGGAATCATGCTCATGTTCTGTTTGTAAGAGTGAAAGCATATTTTCTTCATCCTCGTTTTTCTTCACATGATAGTAATTTTTTACAAGATCGATTAGCTGTTTGTTTGAACTGTCTGCATTTTTCTTCGATTTGTTAAATTCCGATTGGGCGACATTTTCTCCATCTTCCTTGGTCTGTTCTTTATCATGATTAAAGAATCCAAACGAGCTAAAAAAAGGATTCCCTCCTTTGTCATCCTTCCCAATGTCATTGTTTTCTTTGTCATCCTTCCCAATGTCATTGTTTTCTTTGTCATTCTTCCCAGAGTCATTGTTTTCTTTGTCATTCTTCCCAGAGTCATTGTTTTCTTTGTCATTCTTCCCAGAGTCATTGTTTTCTTTGTCATTCTTCCCTATTTCTGTACCATTAAAAACGCACCCGTTGCCCTTTTGACATGTCACACTTCCTGCACTGGTTTCCACTACTCCATCTTGATGTTCGTTCTTGTCTGTTTCAGATTTCCACATGTCTACGAGAGAAAACATGTTCCAATTATCCTCTTTTTTTTTTTTTTTTTTTTTTTCTACATTAAGTGACATTTCTGAAGAGTCTTGCACTTCTAACTGATCATTATTCCCATAATTATCTCCGCCTTTCTCATTTTTCGCTCTTTGGTCATGTTGATTTTCTTTATTTGACGTTTTAAACCAGTGCAAGATGCTGTCCCCTGAGTTTCCTGCTTCTCCATTTTCTTCAACTTTTCCAGCTTCCCCAATATTTCCAATTTGTCCAATTTGTCCAACTTTTCCAACTTCTTCCATTTCTGAGTTTTTCCCCGCCTCCTGATCCGACGCAATGTCGTTATTTACTTTATTCCATTTGAACAGGTTAAATTGAAATCCTGAATTTTTCTCTGATTGCCCATTTTGAAGATCTCGTTTTGTTCCATCATCCTGCATCTCGGACCCCCTTGTCGAGTTTTCATCGTTTGTTTTGGATGAAAAGAATGAAAAGAGAGAATCTTTTTTTTTTCCCTCATTTTCTTTGGCATCACTTTTCCTTTTCTGCTCATTTGCATTTTCAGAAATGTATTCAGTAAACCAGGAGTAGGTTTTGTTAGTGTCATTGGTTGGATGACTAGACTGCTTAGTTTCATTTTTGAAAAGATGAAAGAAGGGACTACTAGATTCATTTGCTTTTGAGGAATTATGTTCTTTAGATGATGATGATCCTACGGATTCTATTCCTTTGAAGTGTAAAAAATTCCAAAATGGTTTTCCTTTCTCTGTCTCTTCAGAATGGAAATTATTATTATCACTGGAAGTTTCCGCATCTTTGTAATCATCGCGATGCTTTTCATTTTTTGGTTCTTCTCCCTTATAATCGCCTTCATCATCACCTGATGTTCCAAAATTTATCAATTTTGTAAAGAAGAATTTATTTTCAGGATCATTCTTTAATTTGTTCAATTGTTCTTTACTATATTTATCTATCTGATGTAGTTCTTCACTGACAGTTGTTTTTACTACATCAGCCCAGTATTTGGTATTTTTTTTTAAATCATCATTGAATTTATTTGCTTGTTTAGCTATGTTAGATGAATTTTTAATTACTCCATCTTTTATTTCTTGAACTTTATTACTTATATCTTCGACACCTATTGGAATTTCTTTGTCTTTCAAAGAAAAGAAACGTTTTCCAGCGTTAATAATCGATGGAAGAATTTCTTCTTTTTCATATTTTCCATTTGATCTTACAATGTTGCCGTTGTTATTGTCCTCATCATTAGGCTCTCTTTTCCCAATACCATTTGGATTATCCCACCCTATGCTTTTCTTTAACATCCAAGAGGAATCCTTCACATCTTCATAACTATTTTTGAAACAATAAACGTCATCCGATAAAAGGAAAGCAAAGAATAAAATGTGATATTGTACCTTCATTGCTTTGTACTTTTTTTTTCTTTTTTTTTTTTTTTTTTTTTTTGTCTGGGTTAGGTGTGCGAAAGTTATACACATATATATATGTGCATATATATATGTATATATTTTTTTATGGGAACGAAGAAATAGATAACGAGGAAACACACAAACACACACAAATGTGTATATCCTGTTATTTTGGGAAGAGAAAAAGTAAAATAAAAAAAAAAAAAAAAAAAAAAAAAAAAAAAAAACTGACTTGAAATTCAAGTCAATTTCTTCGTTACAAAATGGGAGTGGGGAAAAACCGCGTTTTTTTTTTTTTTTTTTTTTTTTTATTTTTATTTTTTTTTTTTATTTTTATTTTTTTTAATTCATGTTAAGCGGTACTACCCCTCTCCACCCCTTGTGTAATGCAATACTGAGTAACACTTTGCTACGAGCAGTTTGCGATGCAGTATTGTTTTATATTTTCCACTCCCCTCTCTTTGGTTTTATTTTGATGTAACCTACTGACACCTTTTTTTTGTTTAATCCATTTGGAGTGTCTTCTACTTTTTTCCTCATCAACAAAAAAAAAAAACAAGGCCGAGGAATTTACTTCGCTGTGATTGTGTGGGTGGGGCAGGCGCGGGAATACCCGCAAACCGCAGTTGCAAATTGGGAAGTCCGCAAATTGGAAAATTGGCAAATTGGGAAGTCCGCAAATTTGAAAATTGGCAAATTGGTAAATTGGCAAAATGGAAAAATGGCAAAATGACAAAATGGCAAAATGGCAAAATGGCAAACTCGCTTTCGAAAGGACGGTGTGATATATTACACATTTATGTATGAAAGCATCAGTAGATACATTTTCCCCCGTACATATGACCGTATAATATATACATGCTTTAATTCGGTCACATGCAGGGATGATACTCCAAAATTCATCTAATTTACCTGACTTGTTCAGGTGAATTAAAAAAAAAAAAAAAAAAAAAAAATTCTACTACCTCAATTCACCGAATTCTCAGGGGTGAGAAGTATTTTATACCACCACGTCATGTATACGCTATCAGGAAAAAAGGAAAAGAAAAAGGGGAGAAAAGTGGGAAATAAATGCGAGAAAAATGGGGGGGGGGGAAATTTGCATGACATATTTTGAGCAATGGCATAAGCGCATGAGCATCCCGAGAAAAAATAAAAAAAAAGGTAAAATGAAAGACGATACACTTTGGTACAACTGGGAGGCATGCACCACTTCACGTATGCGAGAATGTAGTGCTATATGATCGAAGCCTGTTATAAAAGTATCAAGCCTCTTTTTCTCTTTTTTTTTGTTTTTTTTTTTTTTCTGTAAAAAAATAAAAAAAAAAAAAAATTTTATTATGTCCTTCCCCTCTTCCACTTTGGTAAATGTTTTATCCCATCTAATCTCAAAGCTTTTTTTCATGAAAATGTCTCGACCAAAGTTAAGATGAAAGGGATTAGAAGAAGCGATTGTGACATGTGCGTGTGTCTGTGGTCTGCTCAAGTGGGAAAGAGAAAGATGGAGAGATGTAGTACTTTATCTCACCTCCATCAATGACATATGTGTACGAATAGACACAGCATGTCACAAATCCTTGAGATTTCTCTCCCTCCCCCCCTTTCCCTGTGTGGCAAACGAAATCCGAACATGAATATGAATATGACACACATTCCATGGCACCCTTTTCTCTCAACAGACGTTGCAAATACAGACGTGTGAACAAAACAGGTCAACCCTTTTTTCGATTTTAATCCTTTCACATGAACCGCATCACTTGAACAGTATCACTTGAATTGCCTTATTTTAAATTTCTTTTTTTTTTTTCCTCCCGCTGCATTGTACTTCCAAAGCAATACCCAATTAAGGAGCCAAAGAGGGAGAAAAGTGGAAAACATGGCAAAAGTATAATGATTATACATGTACATGCTGCCGATATAGTTCTTGAATTACTCATTCTTCTTAATTTGAATTATCCAATGCTTATAATGTACACACACAAGATGTGTATTCTCTGTGTTTTCTCCCTTTGCCACATGATCTTTTTTTTTTTTTTTTTTTTTTTTTTCCCATATTCCAAGGGGTGAGCAGAACAGAGCATTGACCTGATCCAAAATGATGCTATAACACATTCCAATTGTCTCCATTCTGATTCGAATTTTATTTTTCTATTCGAACGAAAAACATATACTTTCTACACCTTAATATATATATATGTTTCCCTGCATAAACCTTATAAACGAAAAAAAGAAAATCACACTAAAATCAGCATAAAAAGCTTCTCTTCTCCCATTAACTCTTTTTTTTTTTTTTTTTTTTTTTTTTTCTTTATTTTCGAAAAGGTGTAAAAGCAACACAAAATATATGTATAAATAAATTATTACCTAAAGAACTTAATTCACCTGTGTTTGTAGAGGTTGATTTCCCTCCTGCCCTTTCCCCCAATGGGGAACTGGTCCAGATCGTCTGTGAACTTTTTTATTTTTATATTTGCATTTTATTTGTTTACTCTGGGGATTTTCCAGTGGAGGTGAAAAATAAAATCAGTAAGTTGACAAAATATGCAAAAAAAAAAAAGATTAAGAAGAGTGTTAGAACTTGTAAGGAGTTATAAAAACTTGTAAGAACTTGTAAGGAATTATAAAAACTTGTAAGAACTTGTAAGGAATTATAAAAACTTGTAAGAACTTGTAAGGAATTATAAAAACTTGTAAGAACTTGTAAGGAATTATAAAAACTTGTAAGAACTTGTAAGGAATTATAAAAACTTGTAAGAACTTGTAAGGAATTATAAAAACTTGTAAGAACTTGTAAGATACGTGTGAGGGGAGCATGTGGGGGAAGTGCCAAACAAAAGCGCAAAAAAAAAAAAAAAAAAAATACGACAAGAATGCGACAAAAATTCGACGAGAATTGGCAAAAAATGGAGTGCAGAGAATGTAGAGAAAAAAAATGCAAAAACTCCGAAATTGCTCAAGCAAAGAAAAATAAAAGAAATTGAAACGTGTATCATCCCCTCCTCCCCAACCACCTTCACTCTCTAGTGTTAATACATTAATCCTTTGGTGGTACGTGTGTTCCTCTCTCTATCTCCTTTTGCAAATTTTATTTAGCTTGAGTTTATGCCACGGTGCACAAGAACTGTGCCGTGAAGAGGCTTGAACGTAAGCCTTCCCCTCTCTACCCTTAGAGTTATATAATGGCTTGGCTCAAGTGTCATACATATATCACATACATAACATGCGCATTACTTGCATGTATTCATCTCTTTCATATGCGTATTTATACTCATATCCCATCTCTTCATATGCATATTTTCATACGCATCCCCACCTACTCAAGTACATGTTTATATGAATCCATCTTTTCATAATACATTGTTCTTGCTGTCCATTACGGAGAAGGCACCTTGCCCAACCACCCCAATCCACACATATACACCGACACCCCATATCCAGGAGACTCACCTCAGAATCACACGAGTTAAAAAAAAAAAAAAAAAAAAAAAAAAAACGCATATCTATAACCAAATTTAATTAACAGGGGGAAAAGCTATACCAAAAAAAAAAAAAAAAAAAAAAAAAAAAAAAAAAATTTCATTTTTACTCCAAAGAGGTAATTAAAAGAGAGTTAAATTAAATATAATGAAAATATAAACAAAGATTCCTATGGTGCAAGTGTACATATTTACATGCCATACATTGCATATATATATATATATATATATATATATATATATGTACACATATACACATGCTTCATTAAGTAGTCCCAAGTTAAGCAAATACCAGTGGTGTTACTTGAAAAATTCATAGTAGTATTTTTTTTTTTTTTTTTTTTTTTTTTCTCGTCACATTTTTCGTCGAAGGAGATATGAATATATTACATCATTGCTACATTAACGTTATATTAAAAAAAAAAAAAAAAAAAAAAAAAAAAATAAGCTAAGCGGGACGAAGCGAAACATAACGTAACTTAATTAAAGCAACTATAAGAAAGAACCTAAAAGATACATAGAAAAAATATGCCTAAATCGTACAAACATTTGTATATGTATTTATAGTTTCATTAATATTTGCATGTAATCACATGTGTCAAGTTGTGTATACCTATTTGTAAGAGGGGTAGATGTGCAGACACCACATGTCCACACGTATGAATCCATGTTTAGCAAAAGAATATATACACACATAACATACATCGATACGTAATGTGCATCCCTACATGACAGAATGTGTTAATCCTCGAAGTTCTTCAACAAACTTTTCTCCCTGTTGTGAAAATCTTTTCACTGCTTGAGTGAATTTGCTTCCTATCGAAACCCCTTGGTTCTGTATGTCTCATCACATTTTACTATCCATCCCTTCCATCCAGATCGAGAAAACTCTGTGTTGTTAGATTTTTTTACATTTTACCATTTTCCACATTTGTAACACTTTTTCATACTCACCCATTTTATCACATTGTGAGAGATTTAACCAAGAGGTGTGCAAATAAATTATGTCATAATTGAGAAAACGTTTCAACTTTTTTTTTTTTTTTTTTTTTTTTTTTCAAAAAACAATGGCATACATTTTTTCCCTTACATTTATGCACACCAATTTGTTGACTGATTCTGCGTAAGCTTGATTGTCCATACTCACCGTATTTTTGCTTATCTTTGCGATTAGATGAAAAGAGAAAAAGGCGCAATAGTGGCGAAGAAAAGTAGCGAGGAAGTAGCAAAGCAGTATCGAAATAGGAGCGAAAAAAATATATACATGATGAAGTAATAGTGATGAAATTACATTACTTCCGTTTTAGAGAGTTTTTTTTTTTTATTCCACATGAATTTTTCTGCCTAACAACACATTTTCATTCATACACAAAGGAGTACGTATATTACTTTTTTATATCTATTCTGTCCCTTCCATATCTCCCTGTTTTGTCTACTCTTTAGATGCACATACCAATACATACAAAAGTGAAAACACAGATATTCTTTACAACTGCATATATAAGGCAGTGAATCTTCACGAATCATTTCTTTTTTTTTTTTTTTTTTTATTATTTTGATTTTCTACTTTATAGAACAACACTGATGTATGAATTGTTGTCTCATCCATGTTGTATGTCCTTTTATGCATATAAAACTGGTGACCGTAAAATTTATAAATAAGATCTTTCATGAGAGACTTTTTAATTCTTTTTTTTTTTTTTTTTTTTTTTAACAATCTCTATTCCCATTTATGTTCTATTTTGTTTTGTTTTCATGTGTTATGTCCCTCTTTAATGCATTTAAATTTGAGAGATCATTTGCTGAAACTCATTTATGTTTCTTCTCCTATTTTTCCTACTCTTTTGGAATTCTTGCGTTTGATGCAAAAATTATCATAAACAAATTTTATTGAGCACATCTATTTTTAAGACTAATTCAAAACGCATCATCAGTACTCTTCGAATCACCTATCATTTCCACACTGCCTTATTACCACATTGCCATATTACCACATTGTCAACTTTTGTTTTTTGGACACACCCATATACATAGACTCAGATGTAAAGGTGCAAACGAGTATACCCTCTTACGTCCCAGAACCTCCTAGAGTCACATTGTTCATAACAAAACAATCGGGCATTAACCAGAATAATGAAACACATAAGAATTATTTAAACTACTTAAGCAATGAATCGCTTGGTCAGCTAAGCAGCAAACCAGAGAAGCACCAATCGAGCGAACCTATCAAGCGAACCTATCAAGCGAACCTATCGAGCGAACCTATCGAGCGAACCTATCGAGCGAACCTATCGAGCGAACCAATTTATCATCTGCAAAGTCAGCACACACACAAAAAAGGGTATCCATGTATATGTATACATTTACATATACTAGCGTGTTTTTTTTTTTTTTGTTTTTCCATTTTTGTAAGAATCAAACGGGACTCTGCTTTTAAAGGAGGAGCACAACATCTATAATAGAAGAGGGTGAGATCCAAGATAAAAAAAAAAAAAAAAAAAAAAAAAAACCTCTTCGCGGCCTAACGCATCATGAATAGTTGGAATGTGAATTGGATTAATGATGTGAGAAATGGAAAAAGAAATAAGACGAGGAATGTGAAAAAAAATGAATCGAATCGTGGGGGTGTCATAGACAACATTTCTTGGTTCGAATTTGTCACATTCGATTGGGTCACTGTAATTTTAAACAGATTAAGAAGAGATGGAAATTTTAATCTTCCCAAAATTGAAGAAGATACTGCTATTCAGTATTATTCATACAAATTAGAAAACAATTTAAGAAATGGTAGACTAAAGTACAAACGAAATGTGAATAGCAAAGTTAAGAAAAATGGGGATCATGGAAATTATGCTCATGATGAAAGATACAAAGAAGAATCATGCTTTCTCCAAAAAAGAGGAATTATTTGTGCTTTATTGAAAACTTTTAAATTGCAATTAAGTTGTATTTCTTTCTTTAATATAATCCACACCGCCTTTCTTATATTTGTTGCTTTATGTATAGAAAATTACATTTTACTTATAAAGGGATATCAAAATATTTCGATACCATTTACAGAAAATAATAAAAAAATTATCATGGGATTCTTCTTAGTTCTAGTTATATGCTTAAATATATTTTTTGACGCTATTTTGACATTCTTTGATTATCGCTTAAGGCTTAACATGGAAGTTACTCTTATGTACTTTTTGTATAAAATAAATCTTGACCATTTTTGTGGTAGAATAAACTCCTCTGAGTCTGCTTGGTTTGAGGGTGAGGATCCTCCCATCAATGATACAGTACTCAAAGATGTTATACCTTCCTCTCCAAATCAGCATCAGAACACATCTGACAAGGTTCCAGAGAAAAAAGATGCCCATGCTCTGAGGGATCAACTGATGAAGAAGGAACAAGACAAAAGGGTCCACCATGTGCTCGTCGAGGGGGATTCGCGCGATTCAGTTTCCAATGACCCGACAACTTGTTATCCGACAGCTTGTCAGCGAATACCATGTGAACCTGCACCGAATGAACCTGCACCGAATGAACCTGCACCGAATGAACCTGCACCGAATGAACCTGCACCGAATGAACCTGCACCGAATGAACCTGCACCGAACGAAGCTGCACCGAACGAACCCCGGGGAGGAGTACATCACAGTGATGCGGGTGATCAAATCACGCATAGACCTGAGGAACAGAATAAAATTTGGTCAAATAAAACACACACAATAATGGATCCTGAAGATGACGATTCTAATGGAGATATCCCACCCAGAGAAAGGCTGCCACGGGAAAGACAAAGGGTTGTGGCACGAGGGAATGATGAAATGGGAGAGGTGGGCAATAAGACTAATCAGACGCAGAACTATTTGGAGAACCAGTTTCTAAACAATGAACAGAGAAGAAAAATACAATTAGTGCAAGGGGAGGGGAAGATAGAGGCCGACTCGTGTGACATAAGTATATACAACATTATGTTCGTGGACACGCCATTCTTGATATACTTCATAAATGCAATGATAGATATGTGCAATATGTTAATAAAATTTATAATTTCATTTTATACATTTTACTACAAAATGGGAAGTGAAGCAGTGATGAGCGGAGTTTTACTAATCCTGTCTCTGTATAGTTTAATATTCTCCTTTGAATTATCATCTAGCTTATTTAAAATTAAGCATCTTAGATGTAGAGATTCTAGAATAAGTAATATGCACCATATTTTGAAAGAATATAAATTAATTAAAATGTTTAACTGGGAATCTATAGCATTTGATTATGTAAATGAACACAGGAAAAAAGAAATGAAATTTTGTAAAATACGTATATACCTCAGTTCACTGAGCAATTATATAAATAATATATCCATGAATATTATTGAAGTTGTAATATTTTTTATTTTCATAAGAGGAGAATTAAATAGTAACAAACCAATTAATGTCAGTTCGATAATCACTCCTCTTTTTGTTTATAAATCTCTCATCTCTGGTATGTCCAATTTTCCAAATATCATAAATAATCTTTTAGAAGGTTCTATCAATATAGGAAGAATCAACAAGTATATACAGCATTACCTCTTTGAGTACGACACAAATGAACATAGTACTGATTCATCCTTTGATAACAATTCTTATTATTACGGTTCTTCCAGTAGACTTACTGAACAGCATGGACAAATGGATATTTCTAATTGTAGTACTAATGGGTTTTCAATGAATAATAATAACTCCACATCTATACTTATTTCAAATGTAGGAAAAAAAAAAGAAAAAAAAAAAAAAAATTATGAACATGAATTCAGAAAAACTAGAAACACGCAATATGATGAGGAAGAAGCAGAAGAAGGGATAGGAAGATTTGCAGGAGGGATAAAAAGAAAAAAAAACTGGAGAAATTTTTTAAAATTTGTGGTTTCCCATAATGAGTATGACATGGAGGAGAGAGTTCAAAAGAAGAAGGAATTTTCCAGTTATCATTCTAATAAATATAGAAATCACAAGATTAGAAATGTATATATGTGCCATTCTAATTATCGCAAGCATTATTCATCTTTTTGCATGGAAGGAAGTACCATGGATGATAACTCTCATGTTGTTTTTTCCTGCGAAGAGAGAAAAAAAAGAGGAGCAACTTCTCTAACTTTGAACAGTTGTAATAAGAATGGACATAACAGCAAATGCAAAGATGTGATATTGAAAATGAAGAATTGCTACTTCATTGCAAACAAACGCATTAGTAGTTGTGTGACAACCAATGAAGGAGGAGCAATGTTACTGAAGAATATTAACTTGATTGTAAAAAATAATTCGCTAACTGTGATTCTTGGAAATGTGGGTTCTGGAAAAACACTCCTTTTTAATTCACTTTTGGGAAATTTAAAATTAGCACAAGGAAATTATTACATAAAAAATTTTATCTATGATATGCCAATTATGTACGTTCCTCAGTTCACTTGGGTTACCATCGGTACCATCCGTTCCATGATTTTGTTTGGAAATCGATTTGATCCAGTTTTGTATTACCAAGTTATTGAACAAAGTGAGTTATTGAATGATTTAAATACATTCAAGAGAAAAGATCTTAGATATATCAATGATGAACATAGTCTAAGTAAAGGGCAAAAGGCACGAATTTGTTTAGCACGGGCTTTGTACCACCATTACATACACATGAGTGATTTATTGATTGATTATGAAAATGAAATAAATGAAAATAATAAATGTCGTGAAGAGAAGGTTCACGGAAATTATACTATACACTCGTATGCTGTGCAAAAAGTAAACAGTAATAATCACAAGGAAAAAATGGGAGAAGAAAAAGAAGTAGCCATGAAAGGATGCCAGGACGAGAGAAAAACACAGACGAGTGTAGAAAATCAAGGCATAAATGAAAACTCCCTTCCTCAGGAGAGGATGGAGACGCACGAATTGGAAGAAATGAACAATGTTAACAAAATGGACAAAGCAAACAATCCTACCAACAACACGCATGACAGAGGAAAAAACACAAGAAGAATAAGAAATTCCATTTCTCATGGCATCCAAGCGAATGATATTAAAATGGATGAATCACTGCATGATAAGAACAAAAGACAATCAGAGGAAGTTGGATGTGTTGGAAAAGGCGAATCGAATGAGGCAAACGATGTGATTATAGAACCCACAGAAGAACCCGAGAAACATAATTCTTTTCCTTTTAATAATAATAAATATATTAAGGAGTGTCTAGAAATTGAAGAAATGTCCTACCTGTACTTGTTGGATGACATTTTCTGTTCTCTAGATCCATGCATCTCTAAAAATATTTTCTACAATTTGTTTTGCCATAAGGAAAATGTGCAAGGATTTAAAAATAAATGTTCCTTTGTAATGTCTGTAAATCAGAACATATGGAACAGCTTTCTCTTGGAAGACATTATTAACAACCTTCAGTATGAGGTAGAAATATATGAACTTCAAGATAGAACGTTGGTTTATCACGGAGATATTCATGCATATATGAAAAAAAATGAAATAACTATCAGGAAGGAACTACCCAAGGAACATGGAATCAATTCTGATGGAAGAACCATTGCATCTGGGTTATCTCACTTTCCTTCTACACATTCTCAGAAATCTACAAACGGGATAATGGAATTTTTCGAAGATCAACAAAAAAGAAACAGAAGAAGACAAAAAAAAAAGAGCAGCACTAGCTATGATATGAAATATCACAAATTTATGCTTCTGAAAGAACTAAAAAGTACATATTCATGTAAACTAGAACCCATAGGATCTGCATCTTTACATGAACATGGTAGAAAATATTCATACGTTACACAAAATTATGGAGAGAAAATGGATATGAAAAAGATGGAGACAAGTGGGAATTTAAGCAGCTTACTAAGTATAGGAAGTAGGAAAAGAACAATGATTAATAATTACGCAGAATTTTTAGTGAAGCAAAATAATAAGAATTGTAGTTTATCATTTAATGAAAGTGATAAAGTATATTTACACGAATTTGAAAATGTGAATAAAATATTACAATCTCAGCTGAAGGAAAATTATGCATGTGATTATATTGGAATCAATGAAAATGATGAAGAAGAAGAAGAAGAATTCCGATTTAGGGGAAATATAAAATGGAAAACTTTTATATGGTATCTAAAAATGATTGGAAAACGACTCATAATAGTAATTATTTTTTTTATGATAATATCTATATTTACTGATGAAATAAAAAATATGTTATTATTCATGACAAGCACATTAATTCGAAATGGAACAGCACAGAATGATTCTGAAATTTTAAGGAAGCAATTAATTTACTTGAAATATTTTGTATTATTACCATCCATATCTTTATTAACAACACTAATTGCATTCATGGTTATTGCACATGGAATCGGAATATCAGCTGTGAAAGTTCACACAGAAGTTTTGACCAGTATTTTATACGCACCTATACATGCTTTTTATAGCAATAATTTAGGAAATATAATTAATCGATTCATTACAGATATTAATGTTCTTGATAATGGAATAATAAAAAGAATTTATAAAACATTTTACACGTTCTTTCGTTTTCTTTTTACAATATTTTTACTTAATTATATGGTTAAGCATACAATATATGTATTTCCATTTATTCTTTTATTAATTTATTTCTTTGTTTTTCAAAAATATTCAATAGGATGTAAAGAAGCACAACGAGGGTATCTATGTGCTCATGCACCCTTATGCACAATTTATAGCAATACAATAGCGGGAAAAGATATAATTAATATGTATAAGAAAAATAAACACTTCATGTCTCTATATACAAAACGAGTATTGGATTTCAAGAATTATACAATTTTTAAATGGTCTCTTACCATTTGGGCCTCTCTCTATGTACAGTTGATTGTTCTTTGCCTTACCTCCTTTTATATTCTCTATCCTTATCTCATATTGCCACACCTTGGAAAATTAAATGATCCCAATTTTATGAACCAAGAAGCAAATGCAAATATTATTGGATATTGTGTCACCTTTTCATGCAGCCTTGGGTTTATCATTAAGTCTCTACTTTATGATTACACCCATGTGGAGAAGGAAATGTGCAGTACCCAGAGACTGGAGGAGTGTTCTCAAATGATTAATGAGAATGTTGGATATTCAGATGAGGAAGCAGAAGAGCATGCAACTGGGAGAGACGGGCGCACAGCGGGGACAGACCAACGCACAGCAGAAAGAGACGAGCGCACAGCGGGGACAGACCAACGCACAGCAGAAAGAGACGAGCGCACAGCGGGGACAGACCAAATGATCACGGCTGATGCCAATCCAAAAGCCAAGTATGGGTTCCACTTTGAAAATGTGTTTGTGAGCTATAAGAAGAAAATTTATATAGACAAGGTTCGAAACGTTTATTACTATGCAAACGAAAAATCATGCTTGAGAAATATTAACATATATGCATTGAAGGGGCAGAAGGTTGGAATCGTGGGAAAATCAGGTGCAGGAAAAAGTACAACCTTTCTCTCAATCCTTGGACTAATATCAACGACACGAGGAAATATTACTATCGAAGGTCGTGACATAAAATCAATGAGTTTGGAGGAAAGAAAAAACACAATAGGTCTTCTTCCCCAATCTTCCTTTGTTTTCTTTCATTGGAATGTCAGAACATACATAGATCTTTACGACCAATTTTCAGATGATGAAATTATTGATGCTTTTAAGTTGATTGGGATAAATCTTGGTCATAACGATTTGAACAAATATATATATAAACAAAAGGAAAAAAAAAAATCGAATCACGGACAGAGAGGGGGGGAGAAGGAGGGACGAAAACAAAAAAATTCATCTGCATCAGTTGTGGGTGGTGCAGAATCGTCAGAAGTACCACAATCATACACTTCCAAATCTGGGTCTACCTCTACCTATGCAGCTGCATCTACATCTGCATCTGCATCTACCTATGCAACTGCATCTGGATCTACCTCTAAATCTGCACCTGAATCTGCATCGACGTCAGAAAATTTTCTCTCTCTCTCGGATGATTGCATACGCTACCTGGCCCTCGTACGAATTTATCTGAACAGACATATATACAAGCTTGTACTGATTGATGAAATACCAGTAATTAACTTAAATCTAAGTAACAGCAATTCGAATCATTTTTTTTCAAGTAATGTTAAATCGTTTGAGTATATCATAAGCAACTATTTCAAGCACATTACTGTTTTGATAATTGCTCATGATGTGACTACCCTATCTTGTTGTGATTTCATTTATGTCATGGCCAATGGGGAAGTAATTTACAAATGCAATTATGCAGATATCAAAACGCAAGCGGGTCTAGCTGCCCTCATTCAGGAGCAAACTTAATTGTGATTCCACATTTTATATATATATATATATATATATATATATTTATGATAAATACAATAAATCTACTAAGAGAGAAAAAAGGGCGAGAGGGGGGGAGGGAGAGCGTGGCAGATTTTCAGTGCCTCCCGTGGATGCAAACGTGCAAGGCCGACAGCTTGTACCTGCAGAAGTAGTAGTACCCTAACTTTATAGTTTTCATTTCAGAACCTTCTACCTCATTGTCTTGCTTTTTTTTTTTTTTTTTTTCATTTTTTAAATTTAAATGCAAGCATATTTACAGATACTTGCCAATTGTTTCGTTGAATTGTTTTCTTTATACGGTATACAAGTGCCATGTTATTTTACACTTTGTACACATTTGACAATCCTCAATTTTGATTAATTCCCACAGGTGTGTTGAATCCACTGTTCATTTCACACCCTATTTTTGAGTTGATCTTTTTTTTTCTTTTTTTTCTTCTTTTTTAAATGTCTCTAGGAACGCGTAACTGGCCGCACTGCTTGACTAGCAGAATCGCTTAACTAGTTGCATTACTTGGACTAGCAAAATCGCATAAATAATTGAACTTCTTAATTGGTTGCACTGTTGTACTAACCACATTTCACATGTTTCGTGTGGTGCATACGCACGTAGAGCCATTGAGGCGTGCTGTGACACCTATGAGAGCTTCACAAGCATGGGGTGATGACTAGAGAGGGAGAGGAGGAAATTACATTGCTTCACACTGGAAATTACATTGCTTCACACTGGAAATTACATTGCTTCACACTGGAAATTACATTGCTTCACACTGGAAATTACATTGCTTCACACTGGAAATTACATTGCTTCACATTGGAAATTACATTGCTTCACACCGGAGGTTACATTACTTCACACCGGTTGCATCTGCGTTGTACTTGTAAGACACCTCTAGTATCCGACGAACTTTCTTCTCAAAGTTTTGTATTTCTGCACCGAAGGGGTGATCATTTGGATCTGTCACGGGAATTTCACTTATGCTGGTTAAAATTTCTGGGATAAAAGACGGGAAGAAATAATAAAAGTTTAACATCACTGGAATAATTGAAGAAACAAAATTATCAATGTATGGCTTGAAGCATACTTGTAAACATTTTCTAAAATAAAAAGATAGATCCTGTTTGTACTTTTGCATATCCATTAATTTATTATTTGCATTCACAATCAAATAAAATACAACAATTTGTGTATAAAATGAGGATTTTTTTAATACATTATATGGCTCTAAAACGGGATCCATTTTTTTCACATTTACATTTTCATAAAATTTTATATTATCTTCCAAATTGAAGTTATCACTAACGATGGCCATCATATTATTTCCTAGGTAGTAAAATATATTGCTAAACATTTCAGGGGTGATGTAGAACGACAAGTAAAATGCACTTTGCGTGTCAAATCCAGATTCGCATAAACCATGCAGATTATTCACGTTGAATGTTTTTACTAATGCGTCCATTTTTTTTAAAAAGAAACTGAGGTTGTCGATGATTGGCCTTCTCGATTCTCCCTCTATCGAAACACAATCCGCAGAGCCACACTTCACGATTCCATTATTGTGCATATTTCTCCCTTCCAGACTCAACACAAACTGTGCAACAGCTGTTTCCTGAAGGGAAGTGATATCCTCCACACTTAACGGTAGAAAGTCTTTTGCTGATAGTCTAGGAGGTATTAGAGACAAATAATTATACAATTTTGTAAAAATAAAAAAAATCAAATTGTCCATGCAATCGTGTCGTACTAGCAGTTGTGCAATTTTTGGAGAAATTCTTAAAAAAAAATTCATTGGGTTCTGAAATACTGAGATGTAGTATGAGCACATTTGTTCATCGAACAGATCATTCATCAGTTGAATAAAATTACTTCTAGGCAAAGTCGTCCTTTCTCCATCTTCTTCCATTTGATTCTTCGTCATCCCGTCACTCCTCTCTGGAGATTTTTTTAAAAGAACCATTTCGATAAAAATATTAATTAACAGACAATATTTTAGTAGCGTACTTTCAGCAAATATGTCTCCTCCTCCATTATTAGATAGAGTATAAAAATGAACAGGGTTATTTGAATTCAAAAAGAATAGATCTTTTATAACTTTTCTTTCATTTACAATTTGTGCGTATAATCCACTTGAGCCTTTAAAATGATAAGAACTCGAACTAACCATAGCGATCGCGTTTGAGTCATTTGTACAAATCCTCTCTTCACTCCCATTTGGAATTTTAGAATCTTCTTTCTTTTCTTTTGTCCAACTAGAGTGCGAGTTTTTATTATACCTTTTTGTATTTTCCACATCTATATTTATGCTCTTTCCACGCCATGAATATGGAGACAATACACATTTTGTTTTTTCATTGATTCCTCTACCCAAGGAAGCCACAGAACTGTGCAAATTGAACCCGGCCGTAAAATTCTCAAGGACAATTTCGGGTAATAAATTATGAACGCACTCATAAAATTTCTGAAAAAAAAAACAACTCAGCTGACTATTTTTTATACAAAAATTTAAACAACATTTCCATGGTAACACATGCAAAATAATCAAATAATTTAACTCCCTAAATCTATAACTAACAGATGTGTGAAATTTCCCAATAACATACATTATTAAAGTGTACAAATAGCAACATATTTCGTTCTTATTGTAAAAAATAAATTTGTTTATTATAGTAATAATATAATCTGAATACGCCTCATTAAATAACCTTTCTCTTGTAAAAGGGTCTAACATTAACACATTTTCTTCTTCTTTTCTCCATTTGAAATCAGCAGATGATGGTATGTCCACAAAGTTGTAATAATTATACTTAAACAGGTTTACATTTTCTATGTCTGTTAGTCTGCTTGTAGGAAATAATCCATTTTCGTCATTCCTCCATAGGAAGTTATATCCATTGAATACTGTACTCAAAAATTGAATTTTTTTTTCCTCTCGATCTTTCCTGTAACTTTTGCATGCTTTATCCTTACTTTGAAACTCACCTGGGATGTGATTAGGTTGAGATGAGGTACCCATTATGCGCAATCTATCAGATGTACAGCTCTCATGGGAAGAAAAAATTCTCTCAGAAATCATACGAGTTGTTCCTCCAGAATAGTCAAAGAGAAAAAGAAAACCTTGTACAAACTTATAATTTAACATGGAAGGTAATAGTGTGTTATTTTTTTTATTGTACTTTTCAACAAATTTCACATATACATCGATTAAATTGAAATAAAATGGAAAAATATAAAAATTCTTCCGATAGTCATCCATTGTTTGAACATCCCCTGAATAGTACATATAACTAGCCAATAGGTAAATAATTTCAAATATATAGGAAACTATTCTCAAAGACATACTACCTAAGTAGTCCTTTATACTTTTTTTAACATCGTGTATTGGTATAGACAAATATTTGAAAGCTTCTTTAAAAACAGTCTTAAAAATATTCAATGGAAGTTTAAGAGCACATTTTTTTATATTCAAAAGGAGATAACACAAAATATCCATCAATTTATTTTCGTTTGACGAATATTCCATGACAGATTTTCTTAGTGCACGTCGCTTGCTGAAATATGTATCCTTTATTTCCCTGTGGTAAAAACCGATTAAGAAATGGTATTTTTTTTCTTCTTTTTCTTCTTCCTCCTTTTTCTCGTCATGCACTGTGCTACTAGACAAAACGCCCCTCTCGACTCGAACATATCCTTGCACCGTTTCGTAATGCACCTTTAGAAGACTCGAAATAGTAAGGAGAAAAAGAGTACTCTTTTTCTTTATCTTTAACAAATTCATAATTTGAAAAAATAAATTATTTTCAATTAACTTTATAAGGGTATAACTCCAAATGTCCCTGAAATGGATAAGATTCATATGAAGTAACACCGACGTCATCGTTACATATTTTCTGCATATACCATCATTTATATTTGCAGACAAATAATTCGGGTAGCGAATTAAATCACTATAATGATTATAATTAAACATGTATCCAGGAGTGTTTTCTCGATTGTTGTCTAAATGGTCATACTTTACAGTGTATTCCTTTCTGTTGTTAATTATGTTATAACAACACAAATACACACACTTCCGGACGTATGCCCAGTTATAAAACATTTCCTTTTTTATGATGTCTGTGGTTAACTCCTCCTTCGATAGGAAGTTGGATACACACTTGGAGATATTTCTCTTCTCCCTGTTCAAATTTTTGTTCCCTGTAGATACGTCATCAAGTTTGCCACTTTCTGCCTGACCTACATCAGGTTTGTCGCTTTCTGCCTGGTCTACCTTATCCCGTGCGCGCTTCACCACGGATTGTAAGCTAGTTTGCTCATTTTGCCTGAACATGTCAGGCGAATTCGCACATTTAATAAGGGCCACCAAAATAAACCTCAATTTTACAAAACTGTCACAGTCACATTTGTCAACCAAGTAGAGTAACAAATAAATATCAAACACACCCTCGGTAAGATCATGTTGGAGTGAATTTTTAATTCTCTCACGGGAAAAGGCAAAAAATGCGAACTTGTCATTGCATAAATCTTGAACTGATGAATAAAGAAAAAAAGAAAATTCATAAAAATTATCTTCTTTCTTGTAGGTCATAAAATCAGTTTCCCATTTATTTGGACTTATAGCAATAAACTTGTCATGTAAAAATGTAAAAATATAGTTTAAAAAATTCTGAATAATATTACGATCACACAAGTTAAGTAGAAAATATCTTAAGCATTTAAAATTGTATACTTTCTTTTTGTATTTCTTTTTTACAAATTTGATGACTTCCCATTCAATTATCATTTCCTTTGTATTGATGATATTTTTTTTAATTTTCTTCCATTTCTTATATATCATAAAATAGAAAAATAGTACGTCTTTATTTTTTGTATAAAGATGAAACAACGTAAAAATGAACAACTGTGTATAGCATTCATGTATGTCTATGCGTGGCAGTTTCATTACATCTATTATTAGATTTGTTGCATATGTGTTATATATAAGGGGGTGG